CATCAGGTGCACTGAGCACGTAAACGGGGCGCGGGTCATTTGAAAAAGATCATTGCTGAGTTGGTCCGGTGGCTTTTAGAAAAGTGTATCAGAATGGGCAACATTTGGCCTTTTATGAAACACATTTGATTTTTTCTGAAGTACACTTGTGTTTTTCTGGTACACTGAAGAAGGTAGTGGGATAATTATATTTGGACTGAGGTTAATATACTCGAAGAAAAACGTATTGCCTAGCCACCTACATTTTTAAGGAGCTGAATTTGCAACTAACTAAAAAAGGTGTAACGTAGGAGAAGCCGAAGTATTAATAATGATACGAGGTGTTGTGGTGTTGATGAAAAAATATTTAAAAACACATTTACATATATGTGTTGCCGTAGCTGAGTGTGCAAAGATGTTTGCCACAATTTGTTGATATCCAGAGAGGATCTGGGTTAAAATTCCATTGCAGGCAACATGCAAATTAAATATATATATTTTTTTTTCATAACGACCACGGCCATTTTAATATGCGCGTAGTTGAATTAAATATTTGTCAATATACAGTACATTCGTTGACGTTTATAGTAAGATCAACTACGTTTCTGATTGATTTGCATATTTTTCCCCCTCACTGCATACAAAATACATGGAAAACTTTGAGCGCTTTGAGCGAGCTCTAAATATCTAACGATTTCAAAATTTAAAATTAGGGTATATTTTTCGGTATAGAACAATCCTAGGGGGGAGAGCATTAAAATTTCGACTTTACCTTTTCATATCGTTTTGGACCACCCTAGTTTACGTTCATACGACATTAAGTTAAACACTCCATTTCTTTAATATATAGACGTGACTTTCAAGTGATTCACACACTTCAAACTTACTAATTCTAAAGAAATTAATTGACAGAAGCTACGTGCCTTCAATTTCTATGCAATTAAACAACTTTAGAAGCATTTTGTGCTTGTCGTCTGCAAAGTTTGGTGAGCACACACGTGGAACAAAATTTTTTTAGGCAGGCACACAAATGAATGGTGTGGCAGTAACTGGAATGTTTTTAAGTTACTAGTTACCAAACAATTAGTCTTACAGCCAATTTCACGAAAGCAATTTAAGTGAAAAATTATAATTTTTTTTTTGCATTTTATATGGAAATTATCATCTTAATTTGTATTAACTTTACAAAAGAAGTACGCCACTTTCACCATAAAATGGAAAATTTTCGTGGTAAAATGATTTTGTAAAGAATCTTAAATCAGTTCAGTTGTGTCATAAGGCATAAATCAACCACTTCTATATGCAGCTCAATTAATCAGGTACTTCTTCAAATATATATGTATGTGATTTGTATCGGTTGAAAGCAGGTAATAAGTAATGGCTTTAAAACTCACCTAGAACTTAGTCAATTTATCTGAATGCATAAATATAGTATGTATGTATGTAAACAAATTTCCAGAGACAGCCGGCTATACACATGTCGTAACGTATTAAGTAAGTATGTGGGAACAGTTTATCACATGCCTGTTGTACTGAGCGCGCTATTTACAAACAAATATAGAGGTATTTACCCATAACCTTACCTACCCGTATCTAAGTACATACATAATTATGCAATACGAGTTGTCGTCGTTATAGCACGCATGAAGAGCTGTCGATATATTACGAAAGTTTTCTGACAAATGACAATTTACTGTCAACTGGTTACAGTTATTACGATAATTTATATCATTATTTGTACTGCCACGTAAATTGGTAATTGCATGAGGTAGTTGAAATTATTGTTTTATAGGAAAATAGGTGTTTTGATCCTTAATTGTTTATATTATGTTGTAAATTGATATGTGAAAATAGTTTGAAAATTAAATAAATATATTTGGAAACATGATAGATATATTTAATATTTGATACTTAATTTAATTTAATTACTTAATTTTTACCAAGAACAAAACACTGTTATCTGACCACACTGAAATTACAAGTAATTTTTAAAACATACCTTATTCGTAACGGTTTCAATATACAGATTTATTCAAATTCTATCAGGTAGCTAACAATACTATTCATGGATCGAATCGCAACTAAATAATCTATACAAAATTGAATTGGTAGGGCTCTATTAATCGAACTAAAGCCGGCATCTGTATTCTCTAAATACTGAATAGAATAGTATTGTGTATAAAATTAATTCCGAGAAGTCCCGAAACCCCGCACAGTTCAAAAAAATTCTGAATACTCCTGATAAAACGGAAAAGACGGAAAAAATACCGGAAAAGCCCCGAAAAATGCTAGATGCTCTCAAAAAATAGCCGCTAAATATCAAGATCTTTATTTTTATATCGTTGCAAAATCGAACACGAATAATCGTTAACTTTAGATTTTTAATTTTTCGGTGAAATTTAATCGTTATTTTGAAATTTTATTTTTTCGATAGTAAATAATCGATTTTTGGATTTGAATTATTTTCGATAATTTGTGACCGATTTAAATATTGCATGATCTAAAAACTTACATCCGAAAATAATGGCCTTAATATGACCACACAAAAGTAAATAACGATTGTTCTTAGCCGAAAATGTAAAAATTATCAACCATCTAGGAAAACCATGAAACACACCCAAGCGCTCCTGAAGAAACCCAAAAAATATATTAAAAAAATCCCGTCAAATACCGAAAAAATCCTAAAGGGCTCCGAAAAGTATGGTGGAAAAGTGTTGCCTGTAAGTATACTTTCTGCCTCGTTTCTGTTCAAGCTGTAAGTGATAAAAAGAATTGCGTCTAGACCATTGGTTTTAAAACTGCGGGTCACGATCCCCTGGTGGGTCGCGGCCCCCTTTCTCGGGGTTCACGAGCTGAATTAAATAATCTGCATTCATTGTTTTAGCTACTTATGAATGGATTTAATATACAGTAATTGCCGTTATCTTCCTGTACCTCTTTGGTAACATAGCGGTATAGTTCCTTTTGTTTAATTTTGCAATCCTTCAATCATGCTACGGAATACAATCGCTCACCAATTAATCGGATGAATCAAATTGCAGTTGTTGTAGAGAAGTTGACCATGTTTCAATTTTTTTAAATAAATTCTTTTATTTTTAATATTTTTATTGAGCTTTGTACCACGATTGTTTATTAGGAAAAATTGAAAAAGCAACAAAGTCTAAGCGGTAGAAGTTATAGCACT